AAGGTGGTTAGGGTTATTGAGTTCCGGCACGAAGGGAGCTACGCGTGGGTATCATCGGAGGCTAGGGTTTACAGTCTCCGGTCAAATTGCTGGCGGAGGATTGAAGATTTCTCTTACCCACTCCCATTTCTTGATTGGTTCTGGCGCGTGCACGTCAGCGGATCCCTTCATACACTCGTCTTGGATCCCCACGAAAATGAAGGTGGTAAAATCATGGCTTTTAGTGTCCAAACCGAGAAGCATTCTCCAATGAAGCTGCCGCCAGGTGTCCGAATGTGGGGTGCCCACGTGGATCTCTACGTTTTGGACAGCTTTCTTTCGGTGGTTCATAGTAAAAAGTATAGCAAGATTGATATTTGGGTGATGAAGGAATATGGGGTGAATGACTCTTGGACTAAAGTGGTGGCCGTTGGCCCTCCGGCGATCGACCGGCGAGATTTCCTCAGCCCGTTGGTTTATTCACAGGACGGCGATAAAGTCTTGTTGAGCTGCAATGATTTTAGGCTTGTTTGGTTCGATTCGAAGGAGAAGAGTGTTTGTGATGTCGATGTTCAGGGTTTGCCTTACAGGTTTTACGCCGAGGTTTGTGTCGAGAGCCTTATTAGGCTCAGCGAGCAGGGGAAAGAGACAAAAAGGATAAGGGGAAAAAGGGAGAAGATAGGAAAGAAAAGGTGAGGTTTTTGTGGTGTTTTAAATGGATTTTGGATGTCTGATTATGTGGATATTTATGTGCTTGTTGAGTTGTTGTTTGTTGTTGACTTAATGATTTTTTTTTAGCCCGGTCAAGTACGATTATTATTTCTGGTTGTGGGTTTTGCTTGCACCTTGTAGATCAAGTTGTTTATTATATTGTCCTCGTGATTAATAGGAGTTGTGTTGTGAGCTTGATGAGTGATGTAAGAAAAGTTTTGGATTTCGGGTTCTATTGGGATAGTGAAACTCTCTTTAAAGATGCTTACCGGTTTTGTAAAACTTGTGAAAAAATGTCAAAGAGTTGATTTGTAAGTAGTTTTATCATGCGTTGCTCGGGTTTTATCTGCTTTGTTGTAGAACTTGTGTAACATGTTATAGAATAATAAATTTCCGAGCTTCTTTACGTCATCTTAGGCAGATAACAGTGCAATGATTCTTTTGAAATGATCTTTTCCTGTCAGTAGATTGGATTTTGCTTGTTGTATCTTTGAATGAACTCATGAGTTTTGCTTTTTCATTAGGGATGATTTCTTGTCTGAAGGATTCAATTTGGTGCTCTAACAAGATAGGAAAAAAAACAGACGAAAA